CTTGAAGGCCCTGCTAATTCCAGCAATTTGGGAGGAATGGTGCTATAGGTAAGCAAAAAAAAAAGTATTTTTGTGTTCTGTGATTGAGAAACTGATTTGATTTAAAAAAAAACATGCACTCTAGCAAACCACAGAGGTTATATATACCTTTGTGTGACTTGAATTGATTTTTAGAAATTTGATATTAATACTTACAACTGTATTTTAACTAATAGTATGTAACATATTTTCATCTGGAGTAAACTAACATTTAAAAATGTTTAGTGCTACCATTTTTTATTCTTGAGGCCTTTAAAGTGAATAATAACTGGAGGTTTTTAGAGCAGCATTTTATGTAAATTATTTTTAACATTTGACTGCTGGGAAAAGTTATTACAACAAGAATTTTGCTCCAATGTTAAGCTAAATTTGCTTATGAAAAGAATAATGAGAAAATATGGTCAAGAGAAGTATGAAAATAGGTTGGTACAGCCTGTGGACTATCTAATGACTCATTTAAAAATAATTGGTATATTTCTTGCTATTGTTAGTTTTCAGCTGTACAGGATAAGGATGCAGCTTGTGCTGAACTAAGATGAAATCTACAAGAGATATATGTGATAACGTTATGAAAATCACTAAAAGTTTTAAATAGTAACAAATATATTCGCTTAATGAAATAATTTAATTGCAATGGGAATTCCTTTTTCTAAGATTATAAAAAGCTTGATTATTCATGTACTGATAAAGTCTACATGAAAATCTAAGTATAAACTGGGCAAGTAATAGCTATATTTGTAGGATGGATACACAAACAAGTTGTTAAAATCAAAACTCAAAAGTAAAAGTTAGGTGAACATATTTTAAGAGTTATAACTAATGCCTGGTACATAATAGTCAGCAACTTTGGGACTCTGAGAGGCAGAGTGCCCAAGATTTATTGTCTTTAGTATCAGGAAAGACTATCTTCTGAAATTTTTTCCTTTGAACTAAAATCGTCAGATAGCTGACTTCTATTCATTTTAAAAACTTCACTATGAACTGTTATAATATGTTAGAAAGGAAAAAGATTAATACAACGAACCTCTTATGTATCTATCTTTCGCCCAGCTTTAACAGTTTTTAATTCAGGGCCATCCCCCAACTAATTAGGATGGGTTTTTAATTTTTTCATTGGGAAATAAAATTAAATGTATAGCAGTATGAATACATTGATTTATAAGATAACTTGATTGTTCTCTTATAAAACAATATCTGTAAACTGTAGTAATGCTTTCTTTCTTGTTCCTGATATTGATATTTGTGTCTTTTCATTTTCTTCTTTTTTCCCCCCTGATGAATATGGCTAGACATGATCAGTTTTATAAATCTCAAAAAGCCACACTAGTCTTTTGTTTTGTTGTCATATATGTTGGCCCCATAGTGACCATTTTTGCTATTCTTTATTTCTTCATGGAGATACATGTTTCTTTCTATTGCAAGGTTTTTTGAAGGACTAAGGGCTTTACTGCTTTTTGTAATGTAAGTTTTTTGGTCATGCTCCCCCCCCCCACAACTTTTTGTGTTTGAAAGTCTTATGTTTCCTTTGGGAAGGACATAGAATTCTATCTTGAGAGTTCTTTCAGTACTGCAAAGATAGTGCCGTAGAGTCTTTTCACCTGCATTGTTTTTGTTGAGAAATTTGATGTCATTTTTAATCTATCTATCTATATGTCCTTTTTCCCCTAGTTGCACTTAAAGTTTTGTTTTTTCATTTCTTTCTCCTTTATTTTAGATCACTTTTTTTAAGCAATTTTCTGATGACACACCTGGGTGTGGTTTTCTTTCTTTCCTTTTTAATAAATCATTTTATTGGGGGCTCGTACAACTCTTATCACAATCTATATAACCATCCATTGTGTCAATCACATTTGTACATTGTTGCCATCATCATTTTTAAAACTTTTGCTTTCTACTTGAGCCCTCGGTATCAGCTCCTCATTTCCCCACTCTCTTGATAATTTATAAATTATTAGTTTTTTCATGTTTTACATTGTCCGATGTCTCCCTTCATCACTTTTCTGTTGTCCATCCCCCAGGGAGGGGGTTATATATAGATCATTGTAATGATCTTTCTCCCCCAGCTTTCCCTTACCCTCCTGGTATTGCTACTCTCATTATTGGTCTGGAAGGGTTTATCTTTCCTGGATTCCATGTGCTTCCAGCTCTTACCTGTACCAGTGTACATCCTACGGTCTAGCCGGATTTGTAAGGTACAATTGGGATCATGATAGTTGGGGGGATGGGGGAGGAAGCATTAAAGAATTAGAGGAGAGTTGTACGTTTCATCCCTGCTATACTGCATTATGACTGGCTTGTTTCCTCCCTGTGACCCTTCTGTAAGGGGATGTTCAGTTGCCTACAGATGGGCTGTAGGTCCCCAATCTGCATTCCCCTCATTCACAATGATAAGATTTTTTTGTTCTTTGATGTCAGATACTCCATCCTGTCGACATCTCGTGATCACACAGACTGGTGTGCTTCTTTCATTTGGGCTTTGTGGCTTCTCAGCAAGATGGCTGCTTGTTTATCTTAAAGCCTTTAAGACTCCAGGTGCTCTATCTTTTGATAGCCAGACTCCATCAGCTTTCTTCACATTTGCTTATGCACCTGCTTTGTCTTCAGCGATCATGTCGAGAGGGTGAGCATCATGGAATGCCAGTTTAATAGAACAAAGTGTTCTTGCATTGAGGGAGTACTTGAGTGGAGGCCCAATTTCCATCTGCTACCTTAATACTAAACCTATAAATATATGCACATCTATTTCCCCATCATCACATATAAATATATTTACATATATACATGTCTGTATTTAGACCTTTATAAATGCCCTTTCCCACCTAGTTTCTTCCTCTATTTCCTTTTACTTTCCTCTTGTCCCACTATCATGTTCAGCCTTCATTTGGGTTTCAGTAATTCCTCTTGGATACACTGCCCTTGATCAAGCCTTACTAGGCCTCCTACACCCTCCTTGTCATTGATTTTAGATTACTTGTTGTTCCCTTGTCCCTGGGTTTTTTAACACCCACTTCCTTTCCCCTTTTCCCCTTCTCCCATGTCCCCCCAGAACCATCAGTCCGGTTGTTTTCTCCTCCAGATTATTTATCTTGCCTATCTTATCTAGATAGACCTGCAGAGATAATAATATGCACAAAAACAAGACAGCAAAACAAAGCAACAAAAGTGAGCAAAACAACAAAACCCAAGGACAAAAAAAGAAAAGCCTGTAAATAGTTCAAGATTCGTTTGTTGAACTTTAGGGGTATTTTCCAGTTGAATCTGATGCGGTGCCACACCCTGGCCCCAAAGTCTATTTTTGGTATTCCCTGGGGACTTTGTTGCCCTGCTCCCCTTGCTGTTCTTTAGCACACCCTTAGTGTTTCGCCTCAGTGTGGTGGGGTCAGATTGGGCAATTCCTGGACTGTGTCTCCAGTGTTGTCCGCTGTAGCGCTATGGGTCCGTGAGGGACATCGAGTCTTGTAGTGGGGCCGGCCCTATGGTCCTCTCTGTGCTTTGACTGCTCAAAGCTTGGTGTGGGCCAGGATGTGTTCCGCTCTTTCTTCCTCTTCCTTCATTTGCACCTGTGTGCTCTTATCAGACATGTCACTCTCCCTGAGCTGTAGCTTCAGTGTTATCCTCTGAAGTAAATTCTTCTGTGGGGAGGCGGGGCTGTCCCCTCAGACCTCTCTAATGGTTCCCTGCTTCATGCCAGTATGTTGCATTCACTTGAAGTCTGGTCCCTCTTTCCTGTGGAGATATAAATAATACCCTCCCCTTGGGTGGGTTTCTTAATGTGTCTTTGTTTGAGAGTAATTGAACATGTTGGACCTGTGGGTTTGTACTTTTCAAAGTTAGAAAAAACTTTGACCATTTAGTCTTCATGTATTTTGTCTGCACCCCCTTATGCGGTAGTGGGCTTAAAGATACTCTACATGTTTACTCCTTTTGGACCTTCTCTGTTTCAGTTGTTTTAGTATATATGCCTAAGAAAAGAATTGCTGGTCATAGAGTATATTTTACTTTTTCAAGTACTGCCATATTGTTTTCCACTGTGGTAATACCAGTTTATCCTCTCTTCATCGAGTTTACCATTTCTATACTTCCTCACTACCATTTGTTGTGGTTTTTTATCCTCACCTTCCTAGTGGGCTTGAAATGGTATCTCATTTGTGCATTGAAATTCCATTTCTCTAATGACCTCTAGCATCTTTGCATGTATTTATTGACCATTTATTTATTTTCTTTGGTGAAATCTGTATTCAAATACTTTGCACATTTATTGTTGGTCCTTTTGTTAAGTTGTAGGAGCTCTTAATACAATCTGGATGTTAAACTTTATCTCCTCTCATACATGGTTCCCACATATTTTCCCCCATCTGTAGGTTGTTTCTTTACATTGTAGAGTGCTATGATACACAACACATTTAGGCAGCCACAGCTGACCTTTGCTATTGGGAAAGAGGTTGTGCTTGCTCATTTTCCTCATAGACTAAAACAGCAAGAGCAACCCTTGAGAATGACTGCTGTCTTGGGCTGTATTGATCTGATGGATCATTGTTACCATGGTGGACAGATTGTAACATGAGGCTAGAACAAAGACCAAGAAGGTAAATTCTGGAAGAATTCAAAAGAAATTGCTACTGAATTGCTCAAAGGGTTTGGTATGGCAGCGAAGCCCCCTTAACATTTTTAGTGGTTATTTTGTTGCTGGCATAGCATCAAGAGATTTCAATAGTTTTGCACAGGGATTAGTTTAAGTTCCTGCAGTTGTTTTTCTTTTGGCTATTAATTTGTGTCATGAAAACATTAAGTAACTGTTACTATTTTAGCATCCATCCTTTGTCATTCATTCAGCAAATAATTTCTACTTGCTTACCATGTGTAAGTCTCTTCTACACACCGGATGGAGAGTAGGTATATGGAATCTGGAATGAGAGAATAGTTCCCTAACAGTTACTTCCTTTTTCTCCCTCAAGTTTTTCTCAACTATTCTGAAGCACAAAACATTGCATACCACTGTAGATATGGACAAAGAAGAAAGGAAGACTATCAACCAAGGTCAAGAAGATGAAATGGTAACCAACTTTTATAGTTTCTTAGTGAAATGTAAAGAAGAGTTTATCACTCTAATTTGTTACTCTAGAGAGTTGTTTTTGCACATCCTCATGTCAAGTCTGACTCATAGCAGCACTATCTATGGCAGAGTAGAACTCACTTTTCGGACTCCCAGGCTGTAATCCTGCTGAATGCAGACCACCAAGTTTTTCTCCTGAAGAGTCCCACTGATGGGTTTGAACCACTGATCTTTGGGTCAGCAGCCAGGAGCTTAACACTTGCACCACCAGGGCTCCTTATTCTAGCAAGAAGAGTTCAGTTTCAAAAGCAACAGCCAAATCATCATTATTGGTATCTTTAAATCTTAAAATGTATCATTTTTATTTATTTTATTAAAAGATAATTTTGGGGGGGGCTCTTACAACTCTTATAACAATCATACATCAATTGTATCAGGCATATTTGTGCATATGTTGCCATCATTCTTTTCTAGACATTTACTTTCTGCTGAGCCCTTGGTATCAGCTGCCCCCCAAGGGCATCGTCTCTTTAGCTTATTCTGGTGGTGTGTTTTTGTACTGGGATTCAGTAACAGCTTTGCTGTTGGTTTTTGGATATTTTATTTTTTTACTTTATTTTCCTTTCATCCGATGATTTAAAGTTCTTCTAGAGAACTTTATATATAATCCTGAATACACTATTTCTAAGTAATCTATAAAATTAAAAATTTATGTAATAGAAGTGAAACAAAAAGAAACTTTATCAACTGTTGTAGGGGTGGGGGAGGAAAAGAGGTTGCCAGGCAAAACACACAATAAATGCTCTTATTAAATTTGAAATTCAGATTGCAAAGAATAAGTTTAAGTATGTTCCAAATAGTGCATGAAACACACTTAGCCTAAACAATGATTTGTTTTGTAAATTAAAATTTGATTAGCCATCTTATGTTTTTACTTGGTAAATCAGGCAATCTTGGTAGGGATCAACAGGTCAAGTTAATTAAATAATAAATAATTTGGGTTAGTAGATCAAATTGTGGCATAGTGGCTACTTGTTGAACTGGTTGCAAGGTCAGCAGTTTGAAACCACCAGCCACTCCAAGGGAGAAAGACAAGGCTTCTCCTCCTGTAAAGACTTAGAGTCTTAGAAACTCACAGGGGCACTTCTTCCCTTTCCTATAGGGTCACTTTAAGTAGTCATTGACTCAGTGGCAGTGAGTTTGGAGATCAAATTGACCAGTCATAGTAGTGTTTGGATAAAAAGTTTATCATTTGGGAAAGAATCACGTTAAACCCTGTTTATCTAGATGCAGTGTGTAGCCTGGACTTTATCCTGGAGAGAGTCTTAGTTACTGTAGCAGTGTTACTTGATTTTGACAGATGTGCTATAGTTATCTCAGGTGTTAACATTAGGGGAAACTGCGTAAAGAGTCTGGAGCTCTGGTGAGTCGTTTGAACCTATTAACCTTTTCCAGGTAGAAAGATGAGACTCTCTACTTCTGTAAAGATTTCAAGTCTCAGAAACCCACTGTGGTAGTTCAATTCTGACTTGTATGGTTGCTATGAGTCTGAATGTACTTGACAGCAGTGAGTTTTCAGTTTGAGAGAAGGGTATTCACAATTATCTTTGTTAGCTTTAGGCTTACTTTTCAAAAGTGGGCCACTTGCAACTAGAAAAGGTCTGAATTAAGAAAATATATTTATAAGTTCAAGGAAAATACACGTGGAATATAATATATTTTGTTAGTAGAAAAGAACTTAATTAGTATCACACATAAAACCATAAAGTATAAATGTCATTAAATTGAACTGCCTAAAAATATAAATAAATATGGCATCACATTTACCAGAAATGAATTTTACAGTTAAATTATGGACTGGGAAGATTCTTGCAGTTTCTGGAGCAAGATAAAAAGGTGCCATTTAAATTGACACCCACTTGGGAGACAAGTAATTTTGAAATGTCTCTATGTGTTCTACATTTGATGTTTGATCATGTGCCTCTGTGTATCCATCCAGGAAGTTTTTGGCTATAATCTGAGTCGCTGGAAGCTTGCGTTAGTTTCTCTAGGAGTGGTCTGCACTGGGGGCTTCCTCCTGCTCCTCCTCTATTGGATGCCAGAGTGGCGGGTGAAAGCGACTTGCATTAGGGCTGCAGTTAAGGACTGTGAAGTGGTGCTGCTGAGGACTACTGTAAGTCTGCATTTACTTTTAGCTGCTTGCTTGAGTAAACGACTGTGACTGGATATTTTGTTCAAAAGAGCTCTGAAGGGATATAAGAGGTTATGAGAGTGTAACCAGACATCGTGATTGTAATATTTCCTAAAGCATCTGTTTATCAACTGAGTTTGAGTTCTTTTCCTTTCCAGGCTTTACTTCCCCCTCCGTGAGTTTTGAGTGTTTGAAGTGTCATTGGAGTTGTTGATTAGATTCACCACCTCTTGTAGCCCAGCCTGTTTGTTTAATATACCAGTACCTTTCTAGTGTGTGATCCTGGTTTTTTTGTTTTTTAATCCTAAATAAAAGCATGTTATAGCAGGTTTTAATATCTATTATCAACGTATGGATAGCTTAATTAAGGGATAGTTCATGGAATGTTACCGTGTCATTGAAGTATGCCATAGAGGGGTGAGCAGTGGAAAGTGTTTCTTGTTTGAATTCATGCATCTCTTGAAGTGCTTATCTACCTAAAGAGTAGAAAGTGATGCTTTCAAATTAAAAATGAGTAAATAGTGTAATGTAAAATAAGATTACATAAAAATACAGGAAACCATGTAATACATAATTGATCCTTTCTTTATCATTTTTCCTTTCTCTTACCTTTAAGGATGAATTCAGAATGTGGTTTTGTGCAAAAATTCGCTTTCTTTCTCCGGATACTCATTCATTTTTAAGTCCAAAATCTCTAGCTAATAAAGTTTCCAATGGCCATTTGATTGAGAATCCAGCTGAAGAGATCCACCACGAGATGAGCAAATACCCACAGACTCGTTCACAACAGGTATTGTGTTCTTAGTGTCAAGAGTTTATTTAAAAACCAAAATGCATAGCCTAGAATTGTGCGCTTGCACATACTATGGTTAGGGACATGCCGTATATCTCACAGTTTTAGATGTTACTAGATGAAACATATATCACATGTAGTCACTATAGTTTTAACATGTCACTATATGGTAGCTTTGTGTTTGTAAACAACAAGTAGTGGTGTGCATCTTTGATGTAACTTTTATTTATGCTCTACAGATTCGTTATTTCAGCCACCATAGTGTAAAGTATTTCTGGAATGATACCCTGCACAATTTTGATTTCTTAAAGTAAGTATTATTCTCTTTGGATTAGATTATGAGCTTATTAAATATTTAAGATAGAAAACTTCTTTCTAGTATTACATGAAATTGAATAGGTTTTTGCCATGTAGGCTTTACTCAGTTACTGTTATCAATTCCCTTCAAGACTTAGCAACTGTTTAAAAAAGAAATCCCAGTAGCAATGTTTACTTTTGCAAATATTCACATAAAACTTGGAGTGTGATCCCCAAATTACATTATATCTGTGTATTCTGAGCCTAAGTTCCTTTTTGCTTGAGGTGTCACCACAAAACGGGTTTTGAGTACACCTTGTAGTCTGTATTTGAAGTCAGGGTATCTGAATTGTCACCTTCAAATTTGCTGACAGTTCCTTCCAATTTACTTGAGGGCTAGAGCAATAAACACACAAACATAATTTTACTATGTAGATAAAGATGGGACATTGTTGATCACAAGTCTTTCGGTAGAACAAATTGAAGTAATTCCTTAAAATTTGTTTGTGGAGGGTCCACGTTTTTTAATGCACTAAAATATTTAGGATTCATTTTATTGCTCTTGTTGAAGTAATTAAGCAGCCCTTCATTAAAGTACTATTGCTTTTGAATGATAAAGGCGGTTTTAACACTGCCAGTAAAAACAATCACCTATGAACATTTAAATTAAATGGGTTTTGCCTTAGACAAACTAAATAATTGAACTGTCCTGGAATGGAGCCAGGTGTTTCCACTTGTCAAAATCTGAAAACCATTCCTCTTTAAGAACCATTGACTTTAAGAAAACTGCCAAAGAGCTCTTTTTTTTTGAACCACTCCAGGCCAATTTCTGAGAGATTCTTGGAGAAATCACTAACATCAGTAGGAAAAATATGTTGAACATAGTTGCTGCAAGGTTTTCGCCAACCACAAAAACATGTAGAATTTCTTATTTTCTGGGTTAATCAAATTATCTGATTATTTACGGAGTTTAGATTTCCTAATGGGGTAGGACAAGATGGATTGGTATGATATATAAGGTTCTCTGTGCTTTAGAGTTCTATAGACAGTATCTCAGTTAACATAAACATAAGACTTTGGGTAAAAGAGACTATGTTAAATAGTGAATCTCTCTTAGAATTGTTAGGTTTTAGACATTGTGGCTCATGAAAGTTGGTGCTTTTGATCTTTGTGTTAGATCAGGGTAGGATTTGCATAGATGAAAGAAAAAAAGCATGAAAATGGTTTCTTAATTTGAGACTCACAAAATTGCAAAAAGGGAAACTGAAATAGAGACTTTTTTCCTCTTTGATTTTGGAATTCTCACATTAATTATGTGTCATTTTTAATTGTATTAGTTTGATGATTAGTTATCACAGCTTTAGCAAAACTTTAAGAGAGGCTAATATTACTGTATAAACTGGAGTGTTCGCAGCTAGTTTATCATGGGATGGATGGATTGTCATGTTTGAGAGTTAAATTTTTCATTGTTTAATGTAGATGTTTGAGATTTTAAATTAAAAATTTCATTCTCATCTCTAAAATTTGTTAAGGGTTTCTACTTATAAAGAAATTATACTTTAAAATCAAGCATATAGGAAAAAAAGAGGCATTAAGTAATTTGGATATTTTAAACTTTGTTTAAAATAAAAACTTTGGATTTATTTAGGGGACTGGATGAAGGTGTTTCTTGTACGTCAATTTATGAAAAGCATAGTGCAGGACTGACAAAGGGGATGCATGCCTACAGGTAATTTTTAATCCAGCTAAAGTTAGATCTATTACCAGAGTTCTTAAGTACTATAGTATATATAATCCACCCTTTTATCATATAGTTGAAATGTTAATGGGTATTTTAATACTATAGACCTAGTAGTTGAGAACTTGTTAATATTTTGGGTAAGACTATCTCAGTTTAAGAGTTATAAAAATGTAGCTGATATTTTGAAGTTATGTCCCTAAAACGATAATCTAGTTAATCAATTCCAACATGTACATTTCCTCAGTTTTAACATCTCTGAAATTGGGATGTGTTAATCTTTCTAGGTGGTATAAAAAATGTCTTATAATTGATAGCATCTTAAGGGTTTCTGAAATATGGGAATATTAAGCATAAGCTGGAATTATCATAATGAAAATTTGTAAATTGGGAAACTTACCCATTCTTTTTAGTGTTATATTTTGCTAAAGAGTAAAAACTATGCTAGTATATTGCTCATTTTAAAGATAAATGTAATTTTCAAATTAAATCTTTGATTTCCTTTTACTTCTATAGCATGTTCTTTCAGAAAATTCAATCAGTTGAGACTTACAGTTCATAAGAGACAAGAATTATCATATAGACATAAGGAATTAAAAATGAAAACTTATGTAACTCTTTAAAAGCAGTTTTTCTAAAATATGCACAATGTTTTGGTATAAGTGCTCTTTCGATACAGTGTTATTGTTAGAAAAGTAGTGTATGACCTCTCAAATTTATTTAGCCTCTTGAAATTGTATTTTAATTTCAAAATTGTTGAGAACGCTTGTGTTCCAATATGGGGAAGAAAATATATTGCTTACAAGGCTTTTGTAGTTGTGTAATACACAAAAAGACAGGAGCCAGAATGAAATAAAATAGCAGTATAATTACATGTTCCGGTATTGATCTTTCTTTGTAAATACTGTAAGTATAGAGAATTTAAATTATATAAAACAAATATTTAGAAACATGACTGCTTAAATTTCAGATATTAAAAACAGTTTGTGGTTTGAACTACCAACTACAGTGCCTTTCCTAAGAATACTGTTATTATATAATATGCTATAATGCTATTATTTTTTCTGTTATAGAAAGTTGCTTTATGGAATAAATGAAATTACTGTGAAAGTGCCTTCTGTTTTTAAGCTTCTAATTAAGGAGGTAAGATTGTCATATATATAATTCAATTTGTCAATTTTGAAAGAGCCATGCTTTAAATAATGATTAGCTTTTTATTTTTTGTTTCCTAGCTTCTCTTTATTTATTACTTGGAGGGTAGAGGTAGCAACTGTGGTTTTGGGCAAGAATTGCTTTTTTGGTGGTTGTTGTTGCATTTATTAATATACAAAGTGCCTCAAAATTTTGGGATAAAACAATGAAAGGATAATGGAATTTGCCATGAACTTTTTGAAGTCCCCTTGTCTCTCTCTGTGTTTGTGTATTCTATATAAGAAGTTGAATATCTATTTTTCTCTGTCTCATATATGTCTCTTTTCTTTAACAACTTTTTCATTTTTTTTTCTTCACATGTTATTTTGTAGTACACTGTTAAAAACTAGACATTGTACTAGAGCTTTGGAATATAAAAAATGACACATTGGTAGACTTTTGTTGGGGGGTTGTCTTAGTTATTTCGTGCTGTTTTAACAGAAATACCATAAGTAGATAGCTTTAGCATACAAATTCATGTCCTCACACATTAGGATAAACATCTGAATTATGAGTGCTGATTCAAGGGAGAGGCTTTCTTTGTCATCTGTAGAGACTGTGCTTTGTCCCTTCAACTTCTTTCTTCGAGATTTCCATGTATCTCAGCATCTTATCATACCTTATCTCATTGGTCATTTGCATAATATCTTTTATATCTCAAAAAAGATTGATTCAAGGTAACATAACAAAAGCCCATTCCCAAATGGTAATGTAGCCATTCAGAGATTTGGTTAAGAGTTACAGCACAGGGGTAAAATCCAGTCCATAACATTCCCCTTTTTGGCTCCCTTGAATTCATCCTCTTGCTGTGTGCAAAATACACTCACCCTATCATCCCATCGCAAAAGCCTTAAGTCAACTTCAAGTCCCAAACGTCATCCTCACTAACAATTAGAAGACTTTAGGTATGTTCCTCTTCATCTTTGAACCTGTGAACTCTAGAACACAAGTTACCTGTTTCCAAAATATATTGGTGGACAGGCATAAGGTAAACATTTTCCATTACAAATGGGAGAAATTGGAGGAAAAGAAGGGATTTCAGGCACCAAGCAAATCCAGAACCCAAGAAAACAATTTACATTAGATCTCAAGGCTTGAAAATAATTCTTGATTCTCTGAGAACATCTGGGAAGTAGCTTTGCCTCCCAGGCTTTGTATGTTGCTCATGCTCTCTGGATTCTGGGTGGCTGCTCCTCAACCGTGAACTTCAGCTGTACCTTCCAGGCACACTGGGATGGTAACTGCTTCCTCTGCTTTGGGCAACCCTATTTTCCTAGCCCAGATGAGTGGCAACCCTACCCCTGGACTTGAGTATGTCCCTGGGGCTTGGCAGCCCTCCTCACCTTTAGGTGTAGGTCCAATCTTCCTGGCCCTCCTGAATAGCAGCCCCACACTGCAGAACCAACTTGGCCAAGACTCGGCTCTTTGAAGCCTAGAAGGCTGAGTCCTCAGGGACCCTTGAAGCCTAGGAGGTCTCCCATTCCTTGTTCCTTTCAACAGATCTGCTTCCGACTGAACTTTCCTTTTCTTTGGAGTACTCCCTTGAGCTTTTCCCTGCCCATAGAATTCCAAGAGGAAGACATTTTTCTTTCTTTTCATCCTTTTACTGCCAAGCTGTTGGGTGTTCTGCTATGGTGTTAGGTTAGATTCATCAAACACAAGCTATGGATCACTTTAACCAAAAATTGTGCAGTCATGCCCTTGATGAATATTCTAGGACTTGTGTCCTTAGTGCATACAACAGACTTTCCCAAATCCTTAAGTTCTGTTTTCATTTTAACTCCATCTCTTTGTTCGTGAATTTTACAATAGACAGCAAGGAGAAACCATGAGGCCCCTTTAAGATCTTCCTTAGAGATCACAGCCAGATATCAAAGTTCATTTTTCCATCAGACATTTGAAGATAATTCAGACAAATTCTTTGCCTCTTCATAGAAAGCATCCACCTTCCTCTACTGTTCAACCACATGCTTACCATTTTCTTTTAAAACCTGAATTAAATGCTCACATTTCCACATTTGAATTAAAAGCTCACATTTGGTTGTTGCTGCCATATGTATACTCTAAGATGATAGAGACTTGAGCCCTCATCAAATTGCCTTTGCTACCCACCAATCTACTAATAGTCTCTTTAAGGCAGTATAGGCCTTTATCAGGCACCTTAAAACCCTTTGAGTTTCTATCCATTGCCCAATTCCAAAATTACTTGCACATTTTAGGTATCTGTTGGAGCAGCAACATGCCCGGGTTAAGGTTGAATGGGTTAAGTGGCTGTTAACTAAAAGTCTGGCAGTTCCAGTTCAACAGCTGCTCCTAGGGAAAAAGATGGGGTAGTGTGCTTCCGTGAAGATTTACCACCTTGGAAGCACAATGGGGCAGTTCTTTGGCCCAAAGGGTTGCTAGGTATTAAAGTTGACTTGGCAGTGGGTTAGAGCAACACACTTCGTTTTCAGTACCAAATTCTGTCTGTGCCGCTGTAACAACTACCACAAGATGGCTTTGACAAATACACTTATTTTATTAAAGTTAGGCTGCTAGAAGTTCAAATTCAGGGTTGCCGCTGGAGGAAAAGGTTTTTCATGGGTGGCTCTGGAGGAAGGCCTCTGTCTCTTAACATTTTGCTTCTTGTTTTCTAGGGCATTTTCATGTGCCCTGGCATCTAGTTCACTCCTTCTCTGTTCACTCTTTTAATCTCTTTGAAGAATCCCCAAAGAGGTTGCCTTAAGTTCTATAGTAATTCTGCCTCATTAACATAACAAACACCTAATTTCCGAATGGATTATACCCACAGGTATTGAGGGTAGGATTTAAGACACATCCTTTTGGGGGGATGTAATTTAATTCGTAACTTTTATTCTGGGAGAGAAACTTGTTTAATTGTAACTTAACTGCCACAGCAAAAGTGTGAATAAAAGAAACAGTAAGTGACTTTATCCAGTAGAGTTAGGCTTGCTTGGCCCCTTTTAAACTTCTTTTGTTGTTGCTAAAGGTCAAAAGTTAGTTGAATTGGGTTAATAATGCTTTTAGTAGGAATAACAGACTGTTTATGAATGTGGCCACCTGGTGTTGCTAGGTTAGTGAACATAGTTAGAGTACTAACTTTGATCTTCAGAAAATCTGTTTGCTGCTCCTCTATAATATTAGAATCGCTCTCTTCTAATGATCTAATTTGTTTCTAAGGTAGAATATAAGTGTTTATATCTTAAAAGTGCTTTGAAAATACAGGATCTATTTTAAGGCATTGGGGCTGTTAGAAAGACTACAGATTTGGGTCAATGGAGTGTACTGCTGAACTTTACCTGGTCTCTTTATTTATTCAAGGTTTCATCTTTATGTACTTTTCTTAGGGAAGGCAAAACACTAACCCATTAGCTATTATTTCTCTCCTTTAGATTCCAGTGGACCACTAAATATTTTTTCTATTCTATTAAAAGTTTTGTAGCTTAGAGTGCTTAATTATTGGGACTAAATATGTTTTATGCAGAACTGCTGACTTGATATGATTTAGCTGTTTCTTGCCAATCTGACTGGATGCAAATATTTTTAATTGGGCTTACTTGTTCAACCATATTCTAGGAGGGGGACTGGGGACAAAGTACTATGCTATCACCCTATTTTACTCTCTAGGGTAGTACTTAAGTACACTTTAAAACTGACAGGGTACTATCGAGCTTACACTCCCTTTTTTTTTTTAAACGGGTCTTTTTTAAAAAAAATCATTTTATTGGGGGCTCATATAACTCTTATCATAGTCCATACATACATCAATTGTATAAAGCACATTTGTACATTCGTTACCCTCATCATTCTCAAAACATTTGCTCTCCATGTAAGACCCTGGCATCAGCTCCTCATTTTCCCCCCTCCCTCCCCGCTCCCTCTCCCTTGTGAACCCTTGATAATTTATGTTATGATTTTGTCATATCTTACACTGTCCGACATCTCCCTTCACCCACTTTTCTGTTGTCCGTCCTCCAGGGAGGAGGTTACATATATGTAGATCCTTGTAATCGGTTGAGCTTACACTCTTAACCCTTGTTTTTCTTTCTTCTCAAGTGAATCTACATGGTGTAGATACCTCATTCATTTTGACTTGTATCTCTTTGTTTTTTAGGTTCTCAATCCATTCTATGTTTTCCAGCTGTTCAGTGTTATTCTGTGGTGCACTGATGAATACTATTACTATGCTTTCGCTATTGTGATTATGTCGATAGTGTCGATTGTGAGCTCGCTGTATTCCATCAGAAAGGTAAGTTCCATTTATTATGGGTTTCCCAACTATGTTTAAAATTGTACGTGCATTTTGAAATGCAGGTAAGGTATGTAGAATTAGTGTTTGGTACAAGAACTTTACTCCAACAACTCTGTCTGCTCACTTGTTCAATCTCTGTAAAAAAATTTTCAAGAGAGGTTGATTCAAGATAACCCTCTACATAACACCTGAAGTTGCTGAAGACAATGGGTGCACAAGCAAATGTGAAGAAAGCTGATGGTGCCCAGCTACCAAAAGATGTAGCACCTGAAGTCTTAAAGACCTGAAGATAAGCAAGTAGCCATCTAGCTGAGAGACAACAAAATCCACCTGGAAGAAGCACACCAGCCTGTCCTGACTCGATTGCTGAGGACAAAGTGGGTGCACGAGCAAAAGTGGTGAAGAAAGCTGATGGTGCCTGGCTATCAAATGATATAGCACCTGGGGTCTTAAAGGCTTGAAGACAATCCGGCGGCCATCTAGCTAAGAAACAACAAAGCCCACACGGAAGAAGCACACCAGCCTACCCCAACATGAACGCTGAAGACAAAGCGGGTGCATAAGCAAATGCGGTGAAGAAAGCTGATGGTGCCCGGCTGTCAAAATATATAGAATCTGGGGTCCCACGGGCTGGATGATAAACCAGGGGCCATCTAACTGAGAAACAACAAAGCCCAAAGAAGCACACCACCCTGTGACATGACAAGGCATCAAAGGGATACGGTATCAGGCATCGAAGACCAAAAAAATTAAAAATCATAGCATTGTGAATGAGGGGGAGTGCAGAGTGGG